TTTTATTAATAGTACTCATGTTCGCTAATGTATTACCTAATGTTAACATATGAGATCTTATTGTAAGGTGTTACTATATAAACACATTTTTCACATTTTATATGATCATTTCAATTAAATAGCAACTTCATTGATTAGTCAGCTGACTTACACTTATTTTGATAACAACATTTTACAGTGGGTTGTCTATTAAGGTCACAGAACTCTGAGAAACAATCACTTGCCTGCTGGATTAATAAAACTCGAGTGAAGCCTGGTTATATAATCATGTACGATGAGTGCAAATAAAAAAGAGGTTCACTGAGATGCCTGCTCTCATATTTGGTGCTCAAGAAATGTTTCTTATTATTATCAATACTGGAAACAGTTGTGCTGCTTCATATTTTTGTGGAAACTGTGATCCACTATAACATTCATAAGTTTGGAGTAAGATTTTCTCTTTTTTTTAAGTTTCTTTTGAAATTTCTGGGGAAAAAAACTTTCTGGGGAAAAATGGTTTCCATAAAAATATGAATATGGATGCTTCAACTTTTTTCAGCATTGATAATAATAAGATATAAGAAATGTTTCTTGAGCAGCGGATATAAAGCATTGTTTGAGCAGGCATCTTATTCAGATCAAATCTGTTCTGCATATTAGAATATCTGAAGAATTAAAATGGTAAAATATATATTTTTTATTCTTTGTCAATAAACTTTAACATTACTACAAAGTGATTTTACTGCTTCTTTTATTATCAAATAAATGCAGCCTTTTAACACAACACTTTGAATCTGTTACTGTAGCTGTTATAATGAAGACAAACGTGATGAATTTGTTTTCTTGTCATTTTTAGTTGATTTGTTGGACAGAAGGGATTTCAGATGATCAATAACAGGTTTTTCTGATTGAAAATGTAAGTAAAGAATTAAACCACAGCTTGTGGTCTCAACAAAGATGTTTTCTCTGTCGATTCTGTTTCAGCACATGAAGAGGTCGCTTCTCGCTGATAATTACTGTAGCAATATGAAATGATTCGGAGCCATTCGCAGACTTTGGGTGTTTGATGTTCTACTGCAAATATCACATTAGCCAAAAGAATTGGCCTTTGTTCAGTTAATTCAAATCACCCTCTTGCATAGATTCGAAATTAGGCTATTTGTACTTTAATTTACATCTGATTGTGCTGAATTGATAAAAGAAATGAAGTTGATTTACATTTGCAAAGACTTGCTACATTTTGCCCAAAAGCCACTAAATTTCTTCTTATATTCCTAAAATCTTATTAAATCATGTACAGTAATTCTACGAAAATACTAATATTATTAAAATGGTATATTGTCAAATCTGTACTATTGTTTCTGCTGTCTGACTCATTATGGTTTACATTTCAGCTTTTGCATTTAAGATCAGATTATTTATTATAATAATCTGATTTTAAAGAAATTCATTCATTTATTATTGGATGGAACATGTTGTCCTTCAGCATTTTTTCCCTCTCTCTGATTTTTGAACCAGTTCTAAACATACAGTATATATGGAATGGAAAATTAAATCAGCTAGTTTTGAATCAGGTCATTTTAAAGTATATCAAAAATATCACTCTAATTAAACACATGCAATATAAAACGTGTGTAATATTAAAAAACACTATTTTTATATAAGTGATAGGTATTGTAGTACTTTAAACAGAGCCTATGCTATAATATAATTAATCACATGCAGCCAAACACACATACAGGTGTGAAATGATTTATGCCCATGTGTACAACAAACACTATTAGACTTGTGGACACCTTTTATGAATAACCATTACGGGGGAATTGGAACACAATTGTTCTCATTTTTCTCAAACTGCATGTTTTAGTTTTTTATTTGAGGCCTCATTCATTTTGCTCAACACATGCAGAGTGGTGCTTTAGTCCTCGCATATTGTTCGTAGCGGTGGAGGGGTGGTGCTCTGCCACAGAGCCCATCTGTGTGCTGTATGTGTGTCTGCTGCTCCATCATTAGATCAAGCCTGTTGCTTTGATAAAGCAGAAGACACACAGTGACAAGCGCTCTCTGACAGAGATGCTGCACCGCATGAGGCTTAACACTTCTGCTCTTCATGGGTAAGTGCAGTATTTTTGCAATTGTTAAAATAATGATATATGCTAATTGCATAGTTAATGCAAAATAGTTACATTAATTTATTTTCCATTTTGTATAATGGTGTATACAAGCATAAATACACTACTTTTCAATTAATCAATTCATATCAATTCTTCTCTTGGTACTGTAAATGTACTGATTTTTCATGTAGATGACAAATGTTGACATGCAGATGCAGTATACACAACACAGTAACACAGAATATACAATCAACACAATTATGTATATACAATAGTATACAACAGGGTTTTTTTTAACCTTGACAGTGAACTCTAACTGTTTACAGCTACACTGTAAACAAAATGTTTTTAAATTTTTTCCAAGATTATGGGAGTACGTCTTGCTCGAAAATAATTGAAAATTGATTTAAAGTAAATTCTAGATCTTTTTTTCAGTGTATAGACTATGAAAAGGATATTAATGTTTGTTTAGATTGAATAGCAATCAAACTGGTTAAAATGCTGAAAAATTCTGTTCTATGAAAAATGTTCAATATCCTTTGAGAAATAATTTTACTCACCATTTACTGTCTGTCCGCCTGGTAAAAAAATGTAATAATAATAATAATTTCAAAATATTCATAGATTAATAGTGTCAAACAGCAGTCATAATCAATAGAATGAGCATTCAATCTACATGAGCAAATCTTTAAAATCAGCAGTTAGCTGCTCAAATTGCAAACAAACAAACAAAAACAAATAAATAAATAAATGCAGAAATTGTTTTTAGCATTCCAGCTGGATACTTTTCTATATCTTCATTTTTGAGAATGGCTGCAGGTGGATTCTAAATTCAACTAGAAGTATATGTTATCAGTCATTAAAGCTAAACTGTAATTCATAGCTTTACATAAATAGATAAACTAGGAAATGTTATTCTAAAGTTTACTCTTTACTTTTTCCCCACATATCCTCATTATTTTGAGCTGAATAAATAAGCTTTCCATTGATGTATGGTTTGTTAGGATAGGACAATATTTGGCCGAGAGACAACTATTTGAAAATCTGAAAACTGAGGGTGCAAAAAAATCTAAATACTGATCAAATCACCTTTAAAGTTGTCCAAATGAAGTTCTTAGCAATGCATATTACTAATCAAAAATTAAGTTTGACTATATTTACAGTAGGGAATTTACAAAATATCTTCATGGAACATGATCTTTACTTAATATCCTAATGATATTTGGCATAAAAGAAAAATCAATAATTTTAACCCATACAATGCATTTTTGGCTATTGCTACAAATATACCCCAGCGATGTAAGACTGGTTTTGTGCTCCAGGGTCACATATGACTAATGCCAGACAAATTAAATTCCTTCTCTGGAGTGCTTAGAATTTATTTGTAAGGGGATCAAATATTCAATACTTTAATGAATTGCTAAACTGCTTCTTCATTTAATGGGGTGTTGTTTGGCTAAAGAAAACACGCTCCTGGCATTAGATCCCATTAGCTCACCCACCTGCTCTCTATGGGCCATGCCAGATGAGTCATAAGGCTGAAGCGCTCATTCATGGGATTTCTGTTTGCCCCTGAGTACTCACCTGCTCTCCCGATACTCTGTCATAATAGACTCTAAAAATGTAAAAATGTAATTATAATAATGATATCACATTATACGTAAGCAGAGAAAGAGGATTTCTATGGCATGTTAACCATACATCTAAAAATAACTAATTAAAAATACTCTTCCTCCTAATTGTTTTTTTAATCTTCCTACAAATAAATAAATAAATAAATGAATAAACAAATAAAAAATTTTACATATGAATTTATATACATAAAACATGACCCACAAATTTACCTGACATTAGTCTTTAAAACAGATACATTTCCACTCTAAAAAAAATCAGAGGTGGTCATATAATAGTATATGTGACATTTAATATGATTATCTCTTGTTATGTCTATCTATTTTATCAAAATATTTCATTACATTATCATTCACTCCACCTAAAGCTTCTCAGACCATAACTTAAATTTTAATAACTATTATAATAATTATAAATTATAATAAATATTTAACACATTATCTGTGAATACGAAACCCATATTGAGTAATATTTTTGTGAAAAAAATGGAAGGACTGGAAGACTGCACTAGAACAGATGCAAACCTCTAAACATGTCCCAAATTCCCACTGATTTTTCTACAAATGTTCACTATGCACCTTCATGCAGTTTAAATGCTAAAAAGCTTCTAAAGTCAAATTATGGATATCTTCATGACGTTGAACTCATCTGCTGAGGCCTGTAGAGAAATAAGCATATTTACAGCATCATAGCATCACCATGTACTAGCCATATTAGGGAAACAATAAACTAAGACCGCCCTACATGGACACAGTGGCAATGAAAGCTTATGTGATCAAGTACAAACCTTTCCTTACAAGCTTTCTAACTGATCCTCTAAGTACAAAGCGGCCCTGCTCTTTTCATGTTACGATCAGTAAATGGAGGGTTTGCTGCTGTGTGGTGTAAAGTGGCCAGTCTATTAAAGAGAGTAAAGAGGTCTGTAGTATACAAAGGCTGGCTGTGATGATAATAGTGATAATGAAACACAACCAAAATAGGAATATGCAGTGATAAAGAGAGAGAAGGTGCTGCTGCGCTGTGAGAGAGTTGTGATTTGCTCTTGTTCTTTGAAGACACACTCACAACAGTAAGCGAGGCACAGCACAAGTATTTATGTTTTGATATTTAGGCTACTTTATGCCTGCTATCTGTTTATCCAATCTTATGAAAGGCAGTTATGTTGAATCTTGCATTAGTATGAGAACTTTGGACTTTTTGTTTTGCAGTGCATGAATGCATTTGGCCAGATGAGGAATGATGCTATGGACCATTATCTTCATTTGAAAGGCACAGATGAAGAGGACTAGCATGTCTCGTCCTGTATGGAGCTCAGTTCAGATGTCCTGTTCACTCTGGCTCCTCCTTCTGTCCTCTTCTATCAGGTTTAATCCAGCTGTGTCTGAATTAGGTGAGTGTAATCTGTGTATTTTGGCTGCAAACGTGTTGCAATGTTGTTTTGCTGGATTTTATTCTGCTGAATAGGCCCATAAAAATGCATGTGTGCCATGCAAATGTTTTATACGCTTGCATAATTTGACAAAAGGCTTGCCAAAACATTGTGCTGCTCCACGTGTAACCTAGCAACGGCGGACTTCAAACTAGCCCTGCTTCCTCAAAGTGATGCCCATTTAAAATGAGATTTAATGTGCTGAAAGATACACTGAACGTATGGAATAGCTGGCTATTACTTTGTAAACAGTAAGCAAATGCTAGTGCAATATAAAATTATTTATGCTACAGATGATGCATACAGGTCATTGGGTTTTGTGACATACAGAAGACACCTGACACTACATTAAAAATTGGGATTAAAAATCTAATTTAAACAGTTTTATGATAAAACAAACAAAGTAATGTAAAGTGAATAAGACATATTTACACTTCTCTTTTTACTCATTGCTAGGTTAATTATATAATTTATGATTAATAAATAAAAAGTAATTTAAAAAAGCAAAAAATAAAATTTTCACTGAATATGTGGAAACCCATTTTATGCAAAATGCAAGAAAACACCTGTTAACATAATCATTTAATCTTGTTTTACACTCTATATTTTTTTCAGAAATTCTGGAACATCTAGCATCTAAATGAACTCTTTTTACCCAAGTCAAAAATATTATTTAATATGTCTGAATTAGCCTGATAACATTAGGGTGTATCAACAAAAGTCAATAAAAAAATCTATATATTACAATCTTATTTATTTTTTTATGCTTTATTACCATTGTTTATTTATTTTATTTCCTTGCACACTTTTCTCTTTTGCTCAGTATTTTCAGTGCTAGCTGAAGATAGAGTTGGGATTGTAAATAGCTCTCTGATGCTGCACTGCACAGTGTTTGACTCTGGCCTGAAGCCTCCTCTACCAGTGAAATGGGAGCGAGACGCTGGAGGTCTGGACAGCAGGATTCATCAGTTGGCCAATGGCTCACTTTTCTTTCCCCACTTAAAAGAGGAAGACTTTGGAAACTATTCCTGTAATGCAAAAAGAGGCAACAAACAGATTCAGACCACTGTCATGGTCAGCAAAGCATGTATGTATATTGTAAAGTTCTATTAATTAATTAAATGAAAATAAGACAGATGATGTTAAAGGGATAGTTCACCCAAAAATGAAAATTATGTCATCATTTGCTCACCGTCAAGTTGTTCCAAAAGGAAATCAATGGGAACCGAAACGGTTTCATTACCAACATACTTCAAAATATCTTTTTTATATTTTGTTCAGCAGAAAAAAGAAAGTCAAACAGGTTTGGAGCAACATGAAGGTGAGTAATTTCCTTGTTTAGGAGGACTATCCCTTTAATGGTTACACACAGAAACCTGCACACAGGATGTGTATCACAAATTGTCATTGATTGTAATTTGTTTGTTTGTAGGCCTGAAGAATGTGTTCTTTCACCCTCAGTCCATGAGAACTGAAGAGGGACAGGATGTTTTTCTTCAGTGTGTCTCTGGTGATAGTTCTCCTCCTGCTCAGATTTCATGGTTAAAAAATGGCAGAATTCTCACCAAAGGGAACCAGATTCAGGTACAGAAGTACAAAACACCCACATCTATTATCTACACACACTGTTAACCCATCAAATGAGGATTATAATTAAATAACTTACAATAAATTACAATCGAAAGCTGGTTTTAGTTTTACTATTTTTAAAAATGGATAAATCTGAAGGCTAATTTATACTTACTGAGCGAACAGACTTTGTTTAGTTCACCTAAAGTTATGACAAAATTATATATTGTTTGGTGATATTTTTACTGTTAAAGGAACAGTTGATAATTTGAGAAATGATAATTTGCTGACTTTATTTACCCTCAGGCCATCCAAGATGTATATTAGTTTGTTTCTTTATTAGAACAGATTTTAGCTTTACATCACATGCTCACCAATGGATCCTCTGTAGTGAATGGGTGCCGTCAAAATGAAAGTCCAAACAAGACAGTGCGACTACGACTAATGCATGGAGATTGTGGTTTTTGTGCAGTCAGATCCGATAACTTGTCATCAAAAGTAGAAATTATATAGGACTCTGTGATAAATTTAATAATCTTACATTGCTGAATACTAAGTATTACCTCTAGGGACAGTATGGAGGAGGGAGTCAAAGGAAGACTTCTGGCACTTTGCACATGGCTAACATCACCAACGCAGACCAAGGAGTCTATATTTGCATCACCCACAATCCTCTGCTGAATATAAGCAAAGGAAGTCAAGCAGCAACTCTGACAGTGCATGGTAAGACAGAGAGATGTACAACTCTGATATATTTTGCATATACAACTCTGACTTTCTTATTACTCAGTTACTGATATATTAATTCAAGTGTCTTTGTGTCTATTGCACAGGTTCCTATGTAGACGTAAAGATTATTGAAGGCCCCCAAAATGTCACTGTACCTGTTGAAATGGAAACTGCACTGCACTGCTTTGTTGAAGGCTTCCCCATTCCCACAGTTCAGTGGTTTAAGGATGGACATTCATTACCCAGTTCTTCTAGATGGGATCTGCAGAAGGATGGGCAACTGCTGATTTTTCAGTGAGGTTTTTCAATGGCAGATTATGAATAAACAAGTGTGCAATTACAACAACAAAATATATACATTTCTTCAAGAATAAATAGGTATAATAAAATACAGTCCTATGAAATATAATGGTCATTAATACATCTATATGTAAAAAAATACCCTTTTGGTAAATACTTACAATAAAAGACATTGTGAAAACAAGTGTGAAAATCATGTTCTTAGGAGAGTTTTGTCAGAAGATGAGGGCTTGTATCTCTGTGAAGCTCGCAATGAGAGGCAGAAAGTGATATCTGAACCAGCCTACCTCCTTCCATCAGGTACTTCCTTTTCTGATGAGTCGACTTTCATTCCAGGTGGCAGCTGTTCACACCTATCCTCTATTTAGCACATCCTTTCATCCCTTTTGACACAGTTATGGATTGGAGTTTTGTTCTTGAACCTGCCAACCTAACAGTGAGGAAGGGTGAAACTGCGACTCTTTCCTGTAGGCCTCCTCACAGCAGACCCCAAGCACAAGTGTCCTGGTTTAAGAACAACAGACTCCTCCAGACAGGACTGCATTATGCTTTTGATTATAATGGAGACCTAGTCTTCCACAGGTGTGTTGTGTGGATTTGTTTTTTTGCTACAGTTCTATCCATTTATGTACTCTGTTTTGCTAAACTGTGATGTTTGTGTATATTTGTGTGTGCATGTGCATTTTAGTTTGGATAGTATTATCTGTAAATTGAATCGTGTAATAAGAGAAATCAGTCAAAAATTTTCAAAAATGTCTCTGTCTTTCAGTGTACAAGAGACAGACAGTGGATTGTATTTCTGCACAGCTTCTAATTCCCATCTCAATAGAGCTCTCACATCGAAAAAAATCTTCCTGGATGTTCTTGGTAAGGAATTATTTGGCTTTCTTGAAAGTAACCCATAGATCTATCAGATCCTGATTTAGGTGTTGTCTGAGAAAGGTTTATGAAATCATAAACACCAGGGTTTTTGTCTACTGAAATCAGGCCCAGACAAAATCTGCCGAATGACTTTTAATAATTTGTAATAATTAATCATAGTTTATAAATTTGTTAAAAGCTGGAGCGAGTAGAGAGAGCCAGACACTTCATCTATCTTCCTCCGAGGAGGTGGATGTGATGAGTGTCGAGACAGAGGAGACTGTGGACTCGCCACCACAGTCCCTCGTGTATGGGGTGTGTTTCGTGCATTCGCCAAAATAAAATATCATTTGGCCAGCCTAGAAACAGCACGCTCGTCCTAAAAATAATTAGCTGGTTCAAGGCCCGACGTTAGGGGCTCCTTGTCGTTGCGTAATGCTATCGACGGATGCCTCTCTCACGGGCTGGGGAGCGGTCATGAGTGGCCACTCTGCCCAGGGTCTGTGGGAAGGCCATCATCTCGTTTGGCACATCAACTGCCGGGAAATGCTGGCCGTGTTTCGAGCTCTGACACACTTCCTTCCAGACCTAAGGGGGCATCATGTGTTTGTCCGCACAGACAACACATCGGTGGTCTCCTACATCAGTCGGCACGGGGGTCTGCGTTTGCGCCCCTTACTACATCCCTGCAGGCGCTACTTCATCAAAGCTGGTTTGCGCCTGGCCGGATGCACTTTTATGCTTTCTGGTGCTTACGTCACCCTGCTCGTGACGTCTTGCTGCTCCATTGGATGGATTTGACAAGTGCTTCAGAACGCGGTCACGCAAGGGCGTTCCCAAAGCGATCTCGACGCAGCGTCTCATTCCCTTGGGGAACCATGGTTACATACGTAACCTAGAGACGCTATTGTTTACCAGGTGGTGCATGTGAATTCATTTTGTTCCCAGGTTAAGAAACACAACACTCTACATTTCATCAGTGAGAACGTATGATGAAGGACATTACACATGCACAGCCTCCAACACACTGGGTCACGATCAGAAAACCATGACTCTTCAGGTTGCTGATAAATCTTCCTTTGCAAAAATAGCATACTAGCAAAAAGTACCATGCTACTAACATGCCTTTTGGACATGCACCATGATATTCTTTGAAATAAGAGGATGTATGAATACATTATTATGCTAATCATTTAGTACCATGGGTTGCTTTTTAGAAGTGATCTAACTTCAAAATAGATAATAAACTAATTCACATTTTGTGTGGCAATGTAAAGTTATGGCCTATTGAAATTGTACTACTAACACCTGCATCATAAACATCATACTATTAATGGGTACTGTGGAGCAAGTTGGTGATCTTAATTGCGCCACACACAGACATCAGCATTCAGCATGCTAAACATAACAATGGTAACAATCAAATTAATTTGATGATAAGGCTCTGGATATTACATTTTTTATTTTTTTTGCTAATTCTGACAACAAACACTGGTAACGAAACTGGCAATTTAAGCTGGAAAATAGTAAAACAAAGCAATTGCTTAATTTATTCATGCCTCAATGCACTCTGGGAATCAGCATATTATTTGTCAAGTCAAGTCACCTTTATTTAAATAGCGTTTAATACAATACAGATTGTGTCAAAGCAGCTTTACAGTATTAAACAGAAAAATAGTGTGTCAATAATGTAGGAGGACAATAGAAAACACTAAATTTTTCAGTTAAAGTCAGATCATCGATTCAGTAATGTCATCGTGCAGCTCAGTTCAGTTCAAATAGTGTCTGTGCAATCAAGCTGAAAATATTGCCATAAATTAAGTGTCCACAAATGAGCAAGCCAAAGGCGACAGTGGCAAGAAACCAAAACTCCATTGGTGACAGATATGGAGAAAATAAAAACCTTGGGAGAAACCAGGCTCAGTCAGGGGGCCAGTTCTCCTCTGGCCAGATGAAACCATAATGGTGTGGTTTAATTCCAGGCTGCAACACAGGTCAGATTGTGCAGAGGACTCGTCTGGTTCCCGTGGTCTTGTGCCGATGGCCGTCTAGGTGTCGAGGTCTCCGCAGGGGATCTGTCTCTAGGGCTCATCTAGTTGACATGGTCTCCATTAACATTCAGGGCTGTAGAGGTCATCTCTAAGTGCTGATCAATAAGAATGAAACAGACTAATATTAGCGTAGATGCCATTCTTCTTACGACGTAGCAAATACATTGGTGGTTATGGGAAGTGTTCCCAGTTCCGGTTGACCTAATTAATGCAGCCTAACAATCCTTTAATGGATTTGAATTATAGAAATGTGATAGTATATTATGTGTATGCCAGGTTAAACAGATGGGTCTTTAATTTAGATTTAAACTGACAGAGTATGTCCCGAACAATGCGCTAAATAGGAAAAGGATTTGCCACCCGCAGTTCATTTTGATATTCTAGGTACAGTATGATCAAATGGCCAGAGTTTTGAGATCGCAGAGGACGTGAAGGACCATAATGCGATAAGAGCTCGCTTAAGTACTGAGGAGCTAAACCATTCAGGGCTTTCTTTATAAGTAATTAGCAAGATTTTAAAATGTATACGATGTTTAAAAGGGAGCAAGTGCAATGTTGACAGAACTGGACTAATATGGTCATACTTCCTGGTTCTAGTAAGAGCTCTAGCTGCTGCATTTTGGACCGTTTGTAGCTGAGAATATACTCAAAATGTTAACTAAGGTAATGGTAACTAAGACTAGTTTTAAGTTATTTAGCTTTACATTATTGTGTAATTGCGGTTTGATCAGCTTAAGTTAGTGGAACATAATTTTTTTCTTTTGTTTTGATAACTTTTAATTGCCATTGTGACTCAGAAAAGTCAGGTTAACATAACTGATGTTTTTCAATTAGGCATGATGCTTATTTGCTTAATTTTTAAGGCAATGGGTTTCTTCTCTTTTTTAAGTAAAGTCAACTAATTTTCTAACTTAGATCAAATTTGACATATCTTCTTGTTTTCAGTGAAGCCAGTCATTGTTTCCTTCGTTGCATCGCTCACTGTCTCAGAGGGATCACCTGTTAGTCTACCTTGTCGAGCTGTTGGAGATTTTCCTGTCAAGTACACTTGGATTAGAACTGCATCGATACAAAATTCACCAGAACTGTCCGGTTCAAACTCTCCGGTCTCACTCCCACAACAGATACACATTGATGGTTTGTTACATATTGGACAGACTGTGGTTTTACCATATGATTTAGTTTTTTTTCTTGTAGGCCATACTTTTCGTTTTTTCAGTTTAAAATGAATTTTACAGATAATGGGACATTAGTAATCTCCAACATCCAACGGTCTGATGCAGGAGAGTATCACTGCACTGCAGAAAACAGAGTCGGTCAGGATGTGAGAAGTGTCATCATAACTGTAACTGGTGAGCAAAATGCATGAGAACTAAGATTGTTTTAGTTCTCATAGCTCCAGTCAATAAACATCAGTTTCATGTTTGCACATCTTGGTTTTATCTAACCAGTCAAATGCTCTTCCTTAAAGCTTACTCTGATGTCCCACCTGATAAGGAAGCACTGAGTAAAACGATTATGCCCACTGTGAGTTAATGCAAAATGCAGAGATAGTCATGCTGTGCCATCCGTGACATTAGCCTTATAACACGTGACTGACTCTGTCATTGTTTTGTGAGTACTTTGGCATTTTCATTAACATTCTCCACCATTTTGACCATTTTCAGTGATTTAGTTCTTTAAATTGGTTAAATAATACCTTGCAATACATGCATCTGGTAACAATCATGGATCTGAGATTAGTTGTTTTTTCCAACCTTGCAGGTTCCAGAGAGTGAGCAAGAGCTATTTATTAATTCCTTTCCTTATGGTTCAAAGCTTCTGAGTAATACAGAGACAAATGAATCCCTTCAACAAACAACTGAAGATTACACAAAGATATCCCATAAGTCCTTCTTCAATAAACAACAGGATAATAACACACCTTAGAGAATCTTCTTGATTTTTTCTCGCAAAACTAAAAAATGATGTTCTTATTCTTTTTCCCCCCCTTGGTGTGCAGTGTTTTATGCTTTTGTGGAGGACTCACCAACATACCTGAATCTTGAATCTACCCAAGACACTACAGAGTTCATTTCACTTAAGCCAAGTGGCATTAGCGTAGGAATTAATGAGAAAAACAAACAACCCATTCAAACACAAAAACCAACCCCTGTGCCTGTCAAACCTACACCATTTCCCCCACTCAAAGAGACTTTTTTACAGGATGCACGTCAACATTTCCAAATAACAGAGCAGGTCACAAAACCTCCAGTAATGAATCCAAACACAAACACGCCTTTCCCAGCAGACTTATATTCCCATACCCATCTTAAAAAAATTCAGAGCGTTTCCCTGAATAGTGCCCAGTCCTTTAGTGGACAGACTCAGACTACAGGCTTAACTTTAGTGGATGTAGAGGATCTCACTGCCTCGGCTCCCGTGGGAGAGCATCAAAATCAGAGTCAAATCATCAAGCAGTCTGGAAGTACCAAGTCATCAGTGAGGAATGACACAGACTCACTCAAGAAAAACACCTCACAGGCCCCTATGAGGACCACTGACAATAATAACAGGTTGGTGATCAAATGAATGTCTTTGTTAATGAGCTTCTCAGTTCTTTTGCCATTTATAGCAGAGAAAAAAACTAATATTTGCTAATATTAACATACATTTTTATTGTATTTATTTTTGGGGGGTACTTTTTGTTCATTGTTACAGCATAAGATCAATACATATACACCTTAGAAGTCATTTATTCACAGTAATCTTTTAAACAAAAAGCGTTATTTCCTTTCATATTTGTAAACAAATTATGATCATTCGTATTTTTTAGATATATTTCTGTGTAGGCCCTCAAATAATCATGACACTACATTTTTTAGGCATTTTTGTGTTTTATATGTAACATTGGATGGAAGACAGTTACACTGTTTTTTGCAATTTCAGAAGAAAGCGATTATTTTAGGGATTTGTATACCATTTTCTTCTTGGTTTAAATCCATGATGAGCATCGATATATATTTGACAGCTTGAAACTTGACAACTTTTTGTCAGCAGTGCCTGAGTACTTAAACATATCCTCACGAGAACGTGTGGCATGAGAAATTTTCCTTATCTGAGAAATTGCTGAAGCATGCTGAAAGTGTTTGGTTTCAGGTTGGTTCCTTCAGGCAGTGTTTTGTGTAATAATTAAAAACGAACAGAAAATTACTGACTTTTACCAAAACACATTATTGCACTGGACAGGGAAATCTGAAATGATCTTAGTATCTATATTGATTTTATGATTTAAATATGGTATAAGGATTAAAAGTGTTTTATCATGTTTCAGTGTCCTGAAATAATTCCTTTTTAATAAACTATAATGGCTTCTTTGAGTTTTTCTTATAATATTACATTATTTTCCTCAGAGAAAAGGAGAAATCCCAAACTTGGTTGCCTGTGATTGAGAAGCATGATATTCCTATTGTAGCTGGAGTTGGTGTTTCGTTGGCATTCATCTTCATTGCCATGGCCTTTTACTCTCTGGTTCAGAAAAAGGACCCTGCAGCTCTACCTACAGGGAGGGCAGGTGATATATAATTTAAATACTAAAATCAAACCTGTGATGAGTTCATAAATAATATGTTCAAGTGTATCGAAAAATGTAATATAATTGTTTTTTCTCATAGCTCTGAGGGGAATATGTGGGCCTTGTAGGCATGGAGAATGTCTTGCAATGGAAAGGACATATGATAACAAGTTAGTCTTGTTGAGAGCATAAGTAAATTGTCAACATCGCGTCAACATTGCATTAATTGAATAGTGATTTTGTAACTTTCTTAATGATGGCACATTTTAGGGCATTTGAAGATGATAATTTGATGGCTGTTATTGAGCAAAGCCCCAACACATCGGAGACAAGAGCGCTCCCAACAGAAGGCAGCCCATCCATCTTTATGATAGAGCCACCGTCTGATGATTTGCAAGACTGTGTCCAGTCCACCCAGGGCCTGCCAGTTATTGTGGAGACTCACCCAGAGCCTAGAGAAGAGGACCAGGTCTTAAACTTTGTTGTGTTTTTCACCTCTTTAACAAATTTTATTCCAAACATATGAAGGAGAATATCGTAACCTGACACTGAATGTCTCTTATGCTCACCAAGGCTGCCAGGCTTGATCAAAAATACAATAAAAAAGTAACAAAAGTCTACAACTGGTTTTTATTTAAATATATAATTTAAAATATCATTTATTTCTGTGTTGGCAAAGCTGAATTTACAGCAGCCATTAGTCCAGTCTTCAGTGTCACATGATTCTTCAGAAATAATTCTAATAGGCATTTTGGTAACAATTTACTTGAAGGGGTGTGCATAAGGCTGACATGACACCTTCATAATCATGACATGACACATGTCATGAATATGAAGGAGGTTTTATGCATGTTTATGACAACTGTCATTAAGTGTCATTCGCTCAGTTATGTCATTTTTAATGCAAATATGACATTATTTGACCTAACCCTAACCTAACCCTACCCCTACCCTTACCCCTAACCATAGCCCATAACAAAGACATCTCAAACAATGTCATCTTTGCATTAAAAATTACATAACTAAGCGAATGACTCTTAATGACAGTTGTCATAAACATGCATAAAAAACCTTCATATTCATGACATGTGTCATATCATGATTATGTTGGTGTCATGTCAGTCTTATGCACACCCCTTCAAGTAAAGTGTAACCGGCATTTCTTATTATCAGTGTGAAAAACAGTTGTGCTGCTTAATATTTTTGTGAAAACCACGATTCATTTGACCGATTCAAGATTCTTAGACGAACAGAAAGTTCAAAAGAGCAGCTTTTATTTGAAATAGAAATCTTTTGTAACATTATTAACATCTTTACTCTCACTTTTGAAAATTTAATGAATCCTTGCTGAATAAAAGTTTTTAAACTGTTTTAAACTTAAGTTTTTAATGAACAACAAAGTTATCATATGACCTAAGTGCATGTGTCATATGAACACTTTTATAGCAGCTTTTTGTCTTTTTTGGAGCTTATCAGCCCCTGGTCACCATTCACTTTCGTTTTATGGAACAAAGCAGCATGATCATTCTTCAAAGTTTCTCCTATTCTATCAAATTAATAGATTCATTTTGAAATTACTAGTTTTATTTCTACACATACAGCATTGCAGTCTTTGGGACTCCAGACATAAAGAAAGTACAGTCAGTCTGTGGGTAAATTCACAGCTATAGATAAAGAAGTAACAGTTACTTATTTTCTTTTTAACAATACTCTGTTTTTTTCCCCATTCTGAATTAGTTGGAGACTATATTTGAGGAGGGGAAGGTCACTCTCTCACCACATTCTGACATTCAGCTGCAGTGCATGGAGGACGCCCCATCACCTCCTCCAGCCAATCCAGCACCTGCCCAGGAGGAGGGCCTGCATTCTTCCCTGACCCTCCAGACCAGCGATCCCTCCTCAACTCCTGTGCGCCACAGCATCAATATCTCCCACGGTTTCTCTCCCCTCCTGCTGTCCCATTGTGTGTCCCTGGGCATGACCTCTGTGGCTGTGGATGTGCACTTCTACCCTTCAAGCCCCTCGGCAGCCAGTCATCCTCCATGCCCTGCCTTTGGACCTCCAGGCCAGCAGGTGAACACCAGGCTGGAGCACGAACTGACTGCACCCTCTGCTAGCCACAGTAAATAACAAGAGAGTGTGACAAAAGTTGAAGTCATGAGAAAGCTCGTTGTTAAATCGCTCACTTCATAGGGCTACAGGCAGTTATAAAGATGGTGCTGGTGCTTTATTCTCCCTCTATTTTTTTTCTCCCTAATTATTTTTTTAAAATGATTGTCATATTTCCTATGATGCTGGTTTAATAAAAGGCAGCATGAGCTCATATGGAGCCATGCGTTAGAATGGCTGCATCTGAATTAACTACTTTCACAGCATGTACTGAACTTGATTTGAAATGACTTTGCATGCTACATCTGCCATACTGTCAGACAGAAGAAACTAAAATATTTAAATGAATATAATCATATATGATGCGTCACACGAGAAATTCTGGTAATGTCCTTTTACTGTCTTTAACCGTAAATTATATGGCAGTTCATATTTCCGAAACCCATAGAGTTCACATTATTTGACAGTAATATTACATATAATGCAATGTTAAATCATTTAGTTTTTCACCATATATGGTAAGGTACATATATGGTTAACCCATTAACAGGTTTTTAGCATAGCACTTTTACAAACTTATTTTTTTTTATGGTGTAGCATGAGGAAAGGTCGATATAACTAAAAATGTTTAAATATTTTTCAGTTTTTTGAAAAATTGTATTTGATCTCAGTATTTATGAGTTAGCTTTAAAAAAGTATTTTCTTATCATTATTGATATGATTGATTGATGATATATATATTTTTTCAAATCAAAGGAACCACTATTTTTTCCAAACAGCTATTGTTCCCAAACAGATTAAAAATGTTTAAATCTAGTTTGAATAATGAAGGCATTTTCATTAAATGAACATAAAGAGTATTTAATCATTTATATCCATTATTTAATCATTTATATCCACCAATATAACAACATATAGTAACAGCAATACAGTATTTACTGTCATATATTTTTACTAAGATATTTTAATATGTGAAAAATGTCATGCATTAATTTGCATGCATTGATACCAACCTTGAAATCTTAAAGAGCCCCAGCCTGAGCTTTTGTGGTCTCTATGATATATATATATATATATATATATATATGTACTCCACATACAACTAATACTATTAATACTGCACAGGAGGCAAGTACGCATATTCAGACGCAGGGAACAATTGCAGGTAACATTTATCATTCATCAAGTTTATAAACACTATAAACAATATTTCCTCTAATGCCAAGGAATTTATAATGCTGTACTTAAGAGTAATTAAATGTATATATTAATGTATTTCTGAAAATTATAGTATTCAGCATTTTTAAGCAGTTCAAATAAGAATATATATATATATATATATATATATATATATATATATATGTACTCCACATACAACTAATACTATTAATACTGCACAGAAGGCAAGTACGCATATTCAGACGCAGGGAACAATTGCAGGTAACATTTATCATTCATCAAGTTTATAAACACTATAAACAATATTTCCTCTAATGCCAAGGAATTTATAATGCTGTACTTAAGAGTAATTAAATGTATATATTAATGTATTTCTGAAAATTATAGTATTCAGCATTTTTAAGCAGTTCAAATAAGAAATTACTTCTACAAACCTAGCCATAGCATTATGTAAAATATTGTTGAAAAATGTATCCACAGTAATGGAGAGTAAATGCAAAGGGATGATAGAACTTAAAAGTTGTAAAAAGGTTTTATTTGTGCACCATCTCGACTGTTATTTCCGCTCGTGCCAAAGGTTAAACCACCTTACCATTAGTTATTTCTGTGACTTGTATTGTTGAACATTAATCTTAAGATATTGGGAGTATTGTACTTTATGGGCAACAAACTGTTGTATTTTGCTTTTACATAGAAGTAAAAGTTACCAATAAATACAATTAATAAAACTAAATCTCTTGTTGACTTTTTGAAGTCATGTTATAAGAAGCTGAAACACAAGTATCATGCCATTTACATAATTTTATTCAGAACAGATCATAGTGTGATAGATTAATATGAAGTGTTATTGTCTTAGTTAATGGCTACAAATGAATGATTATTGAGATTGCTGGAAATGGTAAAGAGCCATTTAACTGTACAATTTAAACATTTTGTTGTAAAATAAATGATTTGCCATTTTATTTATTTGAACCTCTTATGTAAATGATCAGACATGCATTTTTGACAAACTACATCATATTGGAGAAAAGTCTCATAGTAATGGTGCTACAAATGGATATATTTTGCTTGGAAAAACAGGAATATTATGAGGTTACATTCATTCATATCAAAGATCATAAATGCATACAACAGTGAACACTCTGTAACAAAGAAAAAATAACTGGCCATCACAGATCCACATCTCAAGAAATTACTTATTTCACAGAACAGATATGAGGCAGCAAATACAATTAATTTTTCAGCATCATAAAATGGATGGAATACTATTTTTATTTATTTATTGACAATGAATTAAAGCTAAATGTTTATTTGGCCTGTGATGGACTGGTCACCCGTCCAGGGTGTTTCCATGGGATAGACTACAACGACCTTTCATAGGACAAGCAGTTTGGAAAATGGATTGATGGTTGTTTGGCAATATGAATGCCAGTAAACAAAGTAAAAAACGATTCTATATGACCGGATCATCCTGATGATATAAAGTTACACTATTTTTTAAAGCTTTGATCAAGTAGGTAGCAAGAAATCACCAACCTTTTAGTCAATTCTCTAACTGATCCTTTGTTAAGTTCCACCCTCTTTAGTTATGAGATTACCATAAACAGCATGATTTTCAGTAAAATATGCTTATAAAGTGGGCAGGAATGTATTGTGGCATTGTATTATAAAAGAACAAAAGCTGGCAGATGGCAACAGTTGCTTAAGCAGGATTGGTCTGTAATGTTTTTATGGTGGAGCTTAGCAAATGGTCAATTAAATCCATAAAATTATCATGTATGTTGTAATAAACACTCTTTCATAATCCAAAAATGTTAATAATATTGTAATACTATGAAAATCCATTCTTCAGTCACCTTGTTAAAAATAACTACTCAAATAATTGTCATTACTAATTCATTTCTGATTTACAAGATAATTCGTTTTCATTCACATCTGTAAATAGAAGTCACATTTTTGATCAGTGATTTAAAACAGATTCCACAAGTACACTGTGCTAAAGTTCACCGTGAGATGTCCTCTGTTGTTTGTAATCTGCTGGAGGAGTATGGAAAGATACATAAGGACACCATTTTGTATTGAGGCAAACTAGTTTCTTCAAAGTAGCAGAGTTTACTATATCAAAACCTGTCTTCCCCCCAAATGTACTGGGCTTCCAGTACTCAGGGGAGCAAATAGGATTTCCCATGAGGCCTTTTAGGGAAAATGGGGCCCCCATTTCCACCATGCTTTCGCCAAATATCACACCAGGTCGTGTCTTCTCTAGCAAAAGAGCTGGGTAGAACTCCAGAGCATCAATATGACCATACAGTTTCTCTAGTTCTTTAGCCATCTCTTTTTCTCCTGTAAAACATAAAAACATAAATATTAATGTGGCCTGGTGGGTAGTTCATGTGTTGAGTGATAACCACCCACTCACATTGTGTAAACATGAAGTGTTTAGTTCCACCCAAAAATTAAAATGAGCTGAAAATTTATTTACCCTCAAGACAGTAGATGAGTTTGTTTATTCATCAGAACAGATTTAGCATTGCTCACCAGTGGATCCTCTCCAGTGAATGGGTGCCGTCAAAATAAGACTTCAAACAGCTGATAAAAACATCACAAAAATCCACAAGCAATCTACTTAACTCTAGTCCATCAATTAATGTCTTGTGAAGAGAAATGCTGTGTATTTGTAAGAAATAGGGGTGGAAAGGTTCTCGGTAAAAAATCGAACCGTATGGTTCTCCACTCTGTTCGGCACGCACTTGCACTGCAGTTCAACTTAAAAATTACAACGCATCTGTAAAACGGTTTGTTAAAAATAACAACACATAAAACAGTTCGGTTAATGTATGTTTCTGTTGATGGCTATGCATTCTGGCTTCCCAACATAACAACAACAACAATGAAAAAAAAAAGGACGATGCTGAAGATGGGGAGAGATAGCTCGCGAGCGTCTGCTCCTCCGCTGGCATCGCCCCATATCCCTTCTCATTCAACCCCACAATATTAGAAAAGTTTGTGACGGTGGGGCTGAAGAGATGGGACGAGAATGGTTTATACCACAATCTCGACACCTCAGTGTGGAGATCAGGGAAAAATGGAAGACCCCGGCGTGAAGGCTGCGATCTAGCACGCAAGAAACATTTGTCCAATTTACTCTTGGGATGAACTTCCTGCTCCTCCGCTGGCCAGTCGATGTTTAATTTGGCTACAGCATGAATCACAACTTCCACAAGCTCCTCATACGCAAGGGACTGTGGTGGCGACTGCACAGTCTCCTCTGTGTCGACCCTCATCACATCAACCTCCTCAGAGGAAGATAGATGAAGCGTCTGGCTCTCTTTCCGGGGGGAAGAAACCACAGCGTGTGCTTCTGAACCCTGAGAGGGAGCAGTGGATCTAGCGGGAGAGGACCGAGATAAGGACGAGCCTGTCTCGGATCCCTCCGCTAAATCAACTTGCGATCCCCATGACAACAGTCTGCACTGTGCCTCGGCAGCAGCGGGACCGGATCAAACAGGATCGCGAGTCTGACCGCTTTCATCGAAGACGGCTCCTCTTGAGAGCTGATCGTGCATGCTCCACTCCCAAACAAACAACACACAGATCGTGTGTATCCCCACCCGCAAGATAGCATTGGGCAGGGAGGAACACATCGTCTGAAGTGCCGTTCACGCGCCACTTTCTTTGATTTTTCTTTACACTTTGACATTGTAACTTGTCTAACAGAGTGTTTTTCTGATTGACTGGTGCTTTGCAAACATTCACACACAACACAACGCGCTCGCTGAAGAGCAGAAGCTAACATGCCCTTTGCTGGAACTGCTTTTATGCTTCCTGGTTGCTCACGTCACCCCGCTCGTGACGTCTCGCTTCTCTATTGGACTGATTCCACACGTGCTTCAGAACACAGAGGCTGCAG